GGCCACATCCAGCCTCTTGGATTTCAGTTGCAAGGCAGACAGATTGGCTTTACTAAGCTGGCGTGTACGGGTTTGGCGCTGCTCAAAACTATCCGTCGTCTTTCGGGCACGTTGTGATGTATGTATGTATGTGTATGTATACATATATACAATTATGTATATATATTTGTTCATAAATACTATATACTTTATGAACCAGAACCAGATATGCCTCAGAATTCAGAATCAGAACTCGAGCCCGACTCCCCAAACTCCAAGCCCTGCACGAGCCCCATGTGAGGAATGACATCCCATGAGACTAAGGATTAGGGTTGTAATATGATACAGGTGGCAATCTTGCAGTTCTATGGCCATTCCATCCGCCGTGATCTTGTAAATTAAACCGACGGATTCCAGTATTTCTCATCAAGGGTCCCTGGTTGAAGGGCCCCCTTTTCAGACTTCCTGGTTCCCTTGTCCGGTGTGGTATATTGCTGGTTTTAGTTTTGGTTTGGGTGGAGTTGTTAACATGATAAGAATTTTCAGTTCGGGGGTTTTAATTCGATACTTCTCCTAAAGTTGGATGCTCGCATTAATTCATTTTACCGTTTGCCATCTACCACTGCCTCGAGGCCCAGACACCTTCAACAACCCCTCCGAAACCTTGTGCAGAGCGGTGCAGTTAGCAACCTACCTCTTGCTGTAACCGGGCTGCTGGGTATGCAGTCCAAGGAAGATTGTTCCATATTTTGGCGAAGTCTTTGGTGTCTGTGTGAGGTTATAGTCTCTGTACAGAAGCCTAAATCTCTCAATAGAATCTTAGGTCCCAACGCGCTCAAGCGGCCCTGAGCTTAAATCCCAAATCTCAAGAGATCCTACATCCCAAGACTTAACCCCCAAATCCTAAACTCCGCATTCTGAGCCCCTTCGCCGCCATGGTCGCACCGCTGACAGACGACAAGCGTGCGCGCGAGCTGTCGAAGTGCCTGCACGGCTGGTTTTCCGAGGCCCGATGACAAGCTGGGGATGTTGGGCTTAGGGTTTAGAGTTCAGGGGTCTTGGGAAAAGATGGGAAAAGCTGAGGGCTATAGGGCTGAAACTACACCCTGCACGTCTAAACCGCAAAGTGTGACGAAAGCTCCAGATCCCGATCCGGAAGCACGACGCAGGCTCCGACGTGTTCGCAGCTTTTTTCGGGGCCTCACCCATGGGTAGTCTCCACTCAAACGTATTTTTTGAGTTGTGTGGTGTGCATGTAATAGAGGGGTTTGATACCGTTAATTACTCTGCAAAGCCTTGCATTTATAGCATTATCTGAACTTATGATGTAATCTTCCCGCCAAGCATGTTCTCGCCATCCAGGAGTCTACTGCACAGTAGACATGTTTTGAAACAGGACCAGCGTTTTGGTGACCGGCGGCCTCGCCCCGCAGCCAGTCGATGAGGTGTGCTGCGCAGCTCCAACCCCCTCTTCAGCCAGAGAGCCGCCAAAAGAGACCAGCGCAAGCCCTGCCTCTTGACGCAACGCTTCCCAACTGTCCACACTGGACGATTGCTGCATTACCCGGATGTCTACGTGGCCAAGCAAGAAATCCTGGACGCAGACAACAAATCCCTGCACGAGACCAAGCTCTGGCGATTACTGCTGTGGCGTTTTGTGGCAATGGCGGATGTCAGCACCGAGCTTGGCGTGCAATCAAGGGTATGCCTTATGCCAAGTCGTACACAGGGCAAAAGACTCAACCGGTGCTGCGCTTTGTTTGCGCAGCTGTAGCCGCCCGCGGCTCGCTCATGAGCGTGATCGGCTCGCACGGCCTGGACAGAAATCTCGCCTCGCCACCAAGAGGTTTTTCTACTTGTGCGAGTGGCATGCACAAGTTCCTGCTCTGGTCCGCGCGTTTCAATTAATTATGGCCCGGAGCAGTTCCACGCCATGGTGGCCAAGATGTCCAGAAAGGAGCTCTACGTAATCATGGGTGGCAAAGAACAAGAGCATCGCCAGGGTGGGGCGATTTTCGTTGCCTTTTGGCCAGGGCGCCAAGAATGGCGCCAAAACTTTCCTGAAGGTGCCACTCAAAGCTGGCAGGGCCTCCGCCGCGAACTATAAGGATCACCTGACCAAGCTCTGTCCCAAGCTGGAGAAGACGATGGGGAGGCTGTATCCACAACTTCCTGCCAAGCTTAAGTTGACATCTTTGACGTCGAGCCAGCCCTGTGTGGTGCGTTTATCTATGCGAAGCAGGCGGCTTGACTTTGTGTTGTAGAGCCTCCATCATGTCGCTGTCATACTAGCCGGTTTGGGTGCCTGGCAAGCAACGGAAACCCCCTTTAATCTTCAACCTTACACACGAAGACTTTAAACTCTAAACCCAAATCTGTGTGAGCCAAGGTTCAGACCCTGCGCACCATGGGCAGCACCGACTGGGAAGCGGTGAGGCGACTGCCCGTTCCCGCGGGCTTCATCGCCTGCACGGCTGCCGGCGTGCCTGAGCCGGAGAACGTGCACCCGTTTCCTGATGCTGGGCTTTGACCACAGGTTTAGAGCTCGGGTCTATTGTAATTGTAGCTTATGTTGTATAAGGCATGTGCTTGAGTAGTCTGCGCAATCGTAGTTTGATTTTTGTAAAAAAGTTGCGTGGGCGAAGTCGCTTATAGCTGTTGCGCGATGGTGTTTGCGCCGCTTAAGGACATGTCCTACGAGGACATCAAGATCAGCAAGCTGCCGAAAGCACCGATGTCCAAGTCAAGCTTTGGTTGCATATCACTGTGTGATTTTTGGCGCTACGAACCAAATCCCTCAAGCTTAAACCAAGTTTGAGAGCCATCTTGCTCACATCACAGGCAGTGGGGGCTCCTGGCCAAGATGCCTGTGCGCAAGACGGTCACGAAAACATGTTTTTTGCTGTGTTTCTGGGAGCTGTCCTGCCCATTTCCATGAGCCCAACCTGGCAGAAACACATTCGACCTATAGTCTCCATTGTAGCTTAGCTGGGTTAACCACTGTTATGGCCAGGATCCTATATCACAAGTTTGGCTAAACCCCAAAGAGAAGCTAAGCTACCATGGAGACTAGCGTGATTATAGGCATGTGACGTCTCGAGTCGGCAATGCACCAGCAAACAGCTGCCCCAAGGGCTAATATCATTTTTGAACCTGACCCCCACTGTAAAAGCTTATATCCAAAACCATTGCTGTGATCTATATGAGGAGTATGAAGTCCTTTGTAGACTGCTGAAGTTTCCGGGTACTAAACCCCAGAACCTGTAGGCCTCTAAACCTTGAGTAATCAAATAGACTCGCTCCCTCCTTTTCTATAGAGACCAACAACCTCGAACCAAAAAGCAACTAGCATAAGCCCCGACATCAAAACCACATGCGTTGGGTTTCAGGTATGGCGAGCAGCCCTTCGCCTTCGCTGAAGCGCTGAACTTCCGTGCCTTGTGCACAGAGTGCCTCTGGGCAGCTTGGCCTTGAGCTTCAGGAGTTTGACCCGTATAAAGCTCGGACTTCCGGGACGCCGCTTTAGGAAACTCCACGACCTTCAGGCTACAGTAACCTTAAATTTCCCGAGACTTTAACGTAGAAGTCGAACTCCCACGCAGAAGCCCCGGTGCCTGCTTGTTTGCATAGGGCCCTCGCTCACATTCTAGGCATAGAAAATGGGCAGTGTGTCGGTACATGTAGACCCATTTAGCTGTGCGAGAAGCAGCAAAACCAACCCACGATTTTATTCTCCTGGAACTTGGAACCGTGTTAGGCTTTGTTTCTTGAACCAGGGATGTTTAAGTATTCCTTGTCCGATTGATTATGACTGCTCATGATCACCTTAAACCCTAATTCCTGAGTACATGCCAGGTCAGCCTGTACTTCTATGTGACCGAAGCTCACGGGGCAAGCGCAGGACACTTGGCGCCGAGGGCAAGCCATCCAAGACACACTGGGATCCACTCCCGAAGGATCATACAAACTAGTGCAATATAGGGTGTTAACTGAGGGGTGTTGTAGTTTTGTGTTCAGGCAAGAAAATAACTATTCTGGATCGGGCACTTAACCCGCTTCTTCTGTCGGCACGTGGGATCTTTTCGGATTGAGCCTTAAGGTTCTGTTCAGGAAGTTCAGGCTTACGGTCTTAAACGAAAGACACTCTTCCGAGGGTACTTTGACTTGGGGTTCTCCAACACCAGGTTCTGAAGCTGAAACTTTAGACCCAGGCACGAAATATCGCAATATGTTGAGGTATGGGGCCAAATTTCTGTTCGAGTCTGAGGTACTCCCCTATGTCACAACAAAAGCCAAGGCAGCCGGATGCAGAAACAAAAGCAGATTGTATCTGCTTGGGGGTTTCAGTTCGGGCTTCAGCCGGATTAGGTTTTACCTGTAGCCGACAAGACCTACCCTTTGAAGGAGCTTTATACAAAAATCACACGAAGGAACCCTAAAAGGTAGGTCTTTTCTGCTACAGGTGGGGGTCTATCGGGGAATGCACATGTACGCACTTTACGTATTTGTCAGCGTTCGAATCTCGATTGGCGTTTTAAAACGCCAATGCAAACCTGCATTCAGTCGTAAACCCGTAACCTGGCTTATACTTATATGGCTGAAAATAAAGCAGCGTACAACAATAATGTGCTTGTTTTCGTAGATAACATCCATACTTTAAGGTTTCCTATATACCATACCCTACACCCGTTAACCTTGAGAACCCAAAGCCGCTAACAGCCAGTTATAACCCTGAACCTTGAGAGCTTTTCTCAATCTGCCTACCAGAACCCTGCCGTTCCTACCGACAAAAAGTGGGGTTCTTGTAACTGTAGCTTTAGGTTTAGTAGAATTTCGATAAAGTCCATATCAGTTTCATATTCGGACCCTTACGAAAAAATGAGCAATATAGAGCTTCAATAATTACCAATACGATTTTGGGTGCTATAATATAATGGGCCCAAAACCGTATTCTAATCATTAAGGCCCCTATATATTACAAACCCCTGAAGAGTCCCCAACACCGAAGATCAGGACCGGACATGTCTGTGCTGCCGTTGGCCTTCTGGGTGCCCTGCAGGAGTGAACTTGGAGGGTAGGAGAAAAGGGATTAAGCGTTTAGGGTTCCTTTAAAGGGACCCATAAGGGATCTATAGGGTTTAGGGTAGGGTGTAGGGTTTAGGGATTCAAAGTTTAAGATATGATGGCCTGAACATTTGTTGGCCACTCGATGACAGTTTGGAGCAGTCAACATGCGATTCTCGTTTCCATCGTTTCGAACCTTCGCCTAGACCTAAGTGGCCTAAACCTAGAACCTCTAGTCTACACCCCCCTGGAGCCGCAAAATGCCCTAGACTAGTGTTTTTTAGCTGAAAAGCCACGAAGCACGTAAAGCCCTAAGCGCTTGAAGCGCAAAGCCCGAAACAGTACGCTACCTGCCTGTTTGAGGAAGCACTCCAGGGAACTAACTGGAGATACACACGTTGGAATGCCCCGTGTTTTTTTTCAGTCTCTAGTCTTAAGTCAGCTCGTTACTCAGCTCGTTGCAGTGCAACTTCTCGGGCAGGCAGGTGGCAACACGAAACGAAAGCGGGCTATAGCATGCTGAAGCCCTGTAGACCCTTGAAAGCCAAACCACCCTTCTGTGTTTTTCTGACGCAGGCTGCCTGCCGCCGAGCTTCTTCCGGCCGCGGCCGAGCCGTTGGCTCCGGGGATGGAGGCTGTGCCGCGGCCGCCGTCACAAGGTGCCTCTTTGGATTCTGGGGTTGATAGGTTTAGTTCTCGGCGGGTTTCATGTGGAGTTATTGTTCAATTCATTTCCCGGCGATCTAGACTTGTTGTCAATTGTTTCCTTGTTCTTTGCTGTACCTTGTTTGCTCTACATAGCGCCTAATTGAAAAATTCATAAGCGACCTCAGACCTTGCTGCATGTCAAAAGCCCGCTGCAAGGCCGAAAGGTTGCAAGACAACGGTGGAACTCGCAAGAGGAGTCTGGGGTGGAGAGCTTGTGGGGGGTTCAGGGTTTGAAGGTTTGCATTTGTTCACGCTTTGGGCTGTTGATACTTACCGTTTGTAGGCGTTGGCTTGGGGCACCCCCATTACTTGGAGATTTGGGGATTGTGCTGCATCGTCTCAGGTGAGCGAGGGCGTTTGCGAACTAAAGGCTCATGCAGACGAAAGTGAACATCTTTCGCACCTTTCCAGGATGTTGACAGCTAGCTCGAGATACCTTGAGAACCCACGTCAGAACGCACTTGCCCTCCCCGCCTTCCGCAGTCAAAGCTGTCATGTCACCCTCGAAGGCTAAGCCTGCACTTGGAAGCCCTACTTTGGAAACACGAGCCTGGCAAACTCGTGGATCCCTGCATGTAAAATGTTTGGGCTTGGGGTTCGACTAATTCGTCCCTTACTCGTCATGCTTGAGCCACGTATTTCCTGAAGCAACCAACCCAAAAGCCCCAAACCATTGTGAACCTTTGAAGCGCCCTGAACCCTCACCTATCATCCTAGGTCCTGGTGCCCATGTCGTCTATACACCTGGGTGTTTTACGCAGGCACTACCCCAAACCGTAAGCCTTGAACCCATATATTCTTATAACTTATAAGCTTTGAACTTCAAATCCTAACCCCTGACCTATAGGCACATGGCTCTTTAACGCCATCTACTCTCCAGAGGACCCGCTCCACACGGCCCTGCAGCGGGGAGGCAGAAAGTCCCTTGGCTTCCTTCCTTCTTGGGGGGAGGTTAGGGAATTTAGGGTTTACGGCACTAGAGTCTAGAGCTTTAGGGATTTCTGGAGGGGCTTGGGGTTTATGTAGGGCTGGAGAGTCAAAAAGCGCAGACCGCGACAGCGTTTGTTCCTGCGCTCCACTGCCTGAAGCTTAAACCCTTAACCATTCAGAGGGCCCGGGTTCTTACTTAAACCCTAAACCGAGAACCTAAACCCTTGGATTCAGACTTCTCTAAACTTGGCATGTAGGGGTTCAAGACTTCTTATTCTCTAAAGCGATTGAAGACCCCGGGTGAGGCCGAAGGCCCTTGAAGGCTGCTTGACAGGGAGGAGGATCATGGGATTTAGTGGGTGGGTCAGGGGTCATCGGTGATGAGAGTAGCGTTATGGGGATCACTGTCTGAAAACCTACTGACTAACGAGCTGCAGTGTGCTCAGCTCCTGATTCCCCTCCCGAGGCCGAGCGTTTATCTCGGCAGCTGCCGCCAGTCCCAGCAGCGTGCAGTGACCGTGGCCCGGGGCATTTTCAGTAATGCATGTGCAAGTTGCTGCTGCTCCTGCTCCGGCCATTACTCCTGCTGCCCATACAAATCGGGAAGCTCCTGATTTCCCATGGCCACCGCCACGGCTATGCTGTGGCAGCTGCGCTTCAGTTGCTAAGAGTTCCGAGTATAAGGCTACCAGGGCATGGTTCCCCAGTTCAGGTTCTCTCCGAGGCGCCTTCTCAGCAGAGTTCAACTTAGAGGGTACGGGGTTCAGAGAGCACATGGCTAAGGCGACGCCATTTGTCAAGCCCACGACGCCGCTGCCTCCACCCGTGCGGGAACTCCTACCAATGCATGATTTGCCCGGAGCTCGGACTACTGGCACGCATGCCATGCGCTGTTGAGGCTTCGTCGACTGAGGTCAGAGACTGCCCAGCTGAGCTTCGAGAGACTTTGCCTGGCAAAACAGGGCCTCTTGAAAGGGCAAGGGTGCAGTTCTATGATCGTGTTGGGGTCTTCAAGCTTAAGAGTGCGATAGCTGCTAGAAGCCATAGTTGTTTTTGAGACTGGGATGCCAGCAGATTTGGCTCCAGCATCTCGACAAGAGCAACAGAAGCGCCGCCTCTCTTGCAAGGAACACTCTGGAATACATGATGGGCTTTCGACAACTCCACCAGGACTCAGTGCACTGCGAAGCAGTTTGGGACGTTCCGGTGTTGTACTCCGGTTGCTCTCTTGAGTCGAGATGGTCCGCAGTTGGCGTCCATGTCGGCGCTCTCTCACCCAATTTCACGTAGTGTACCAGAATATAACACCTCAAATCATGTTGAGGATTCCTCTACTGCAAAACCAGCCGAGTTACCAGACCTTCTTGTGTAGAAGAACCTCAGGGGAGCGTCCCTGTGGGTGTAGAGTGTAGACTAGTGGCTTCTAAAACCCCGAGACCAGAAGCCCTAGCCCTAAGCCCTGGGCCACGTACTTTGCAACCCTGCAAGAATCTCTTTCCCCGGCGGTCTGCCAGGGTCGAGGACTGGAGGGCTATCAAGATAAGATCGCGCTGACGGAGGCCAGCAACTTATGTAGCTGATTTTGTTCTAAGGACACCGTGGTTTGGGCTTTGGGTTTAGGCATCCGGAGTTCAGGGCATTGGGGTTTGTGGCCTGGGAACGTAAGGTCCAGCAGCTTTACGAACTTCAAGACGGATTTGTTCTGTCCCGCAACAGCTAAACCCCTTTTCCCGAATCCCGCATGGGACATTTGCCACGGTCATTGCAGGGTGCCGTAGCCTCGAACACCCTCAAGCTATAATGATGCCTGCGTACATGTTCATGGTTATATCTGAATCGTTTAATTTTGGTGACATCAAGTTTGCAAAAAGGTCCTTGCAAGGCCAGGTCCTTTTGCCACCCGATTAATGATTCTACAAGGAAATCCAGCATCTGGGGACCCACTAGGGCTTAAGACGCAGAGCAGTCAGAGCCTCCTAGCTTGAAGTTTCCCATCAAGACCTTTCCCCAGACCAAACCGGAACCGGAGCATATTGCCAGGCGTTCCGGCAGCGGAAACTGCCCGTTCCCCGTACCTTCTTCTCGGCCTACGGCTCTGATTTCGATGTGCGCCCTACGATCGAGGACAGCTCCGGATTTTCGAGTCTCAGTCTCGAGGGCCTCTATAGGGTTTAGGGTTTGGGATTTAGGATTTAGGGTTTGGAGTTTAGGATTTAGGGTTTGGAGTTTAGGATTTAGGGTATAGGATTTAGGGTTTAGGGTTTAGCCAGGGTGTTGGATGTATGTAGGGGTTATGAGACACACCGCTAAGGCGCAAGCTCTAAAGACCCAAAGTGTATATACTGTATACATTCACGTCTGGAACCTCCCTCCTTCAGCCCTGAAGCAAAAGTCAAAGCCAGTTCCTAAGCCCTATAAACCTCAAGCCCTCAACCCAACACCTCTGAAGCCAAGAGTCACCTGCAGGCCTTAACAAATGATGGCCGTGGCTACGTGGCCAAGGCGCACGATAACTCGAGATGTGCGGGTTTAGGTTTAGCACTGGTTTAGCTTTGAGGGTTTGGAAAAGTTTTGGGCTGCAGCACATTTCTTTGCACTATCATTATTATGTTGTAGGCTGCAAGCACGAAGGTATCGTCTCAAGGAGCTTGTCGACAAAGGGTGCCAGGTGCTGTACAGTACGGTGTTTCTTATGCTCCGCGCACGGCTAGGATGGGGATTGTCTTTACGACTTTTGCTACATATAGAGGCGTGTACAAGTACAAGGACCCTGTGAAGAAATAGTAGGGTATACAGATAGTACTTCACAAGACTTCAAAGTCGCAAAGCTCAAAAAACCCGAGATCTCCACTCGCACGAAAGCATAATCCCAGAACCCAAAACCTCAAATCCGCGCTTGCAGCCTTTTCCACAAACCCTGACTCCCACGTCTCAGTCTACACGTAGCAACTCCGAAGTTGCAGAGCCTGGAGATGTCTCAAAAAGTCTTTGCCCTTGGCTTTGATAGAGGGGTCCACCCGCTGGCAGCATTCTGGGCCCGAGCTCGAGCTTGAGCGAAATCGCCGTTGTTTGCCATGTCCAGAGCTGGGCTCATGCATCGCTTGCTTTTGGCGGCCATGTGTGCATGCCTGACAAGTCGGGCTGCGTCCATCCGGAGAGACGTCAAGCAGGAGCATCTGGGCAGGATTTCTATCAGCTTGATCCGTTTCGAAGGCCCTTCTTTCTCATCAGTAGGTTTCCATCAGTAGGGGGTTGTAGTAAACGAAAGGATAAGAAAGCAGATGCAGAACATCGATAAACAAATAGGCCTCTAGTATGAAGAAGCAAGGGGGAGTATGGGACGGGGGGAAGGTTGCTAGCTAAACTCGTTTGCACCCGTTCAACAGTAGGCTGAAGTGCCAATGTAGCCAGGTTGGCAGCACCAAAATCGACGTCGTGGCGTTTAGCATACATACATACATACATACATATATTTGTACGTATCTTTACATACACACCGAAAGCAGAGGAGAGACTTCTTTGTAGTTCTCGGCTTTTTGTTTTGTGCTCACCTTCTCAAGCGCGACCCAGGCATGAGCAGCGTGTTGCTTCGCAGCAGGAGCCGGGATTCGGGCGAAGCCTTCAGGTTAGGACATGGTGATGGGAGGAGCTGAACCAGGAGCCCCAAACCGAAGTAGGGCACCGCACATTCTTCCCCAAGATCGTACTAAGGACGCCTGTAATGCCTTTGTACAAACCCCGCAGGCATGGGCTTTCTGGAAGCAAAGTGATGGCTCCAGCGATGACGATAGTGACGTGGAGAGTGAGGACGCGTTTCTTTCCAGGAAAAGGTCGAGGAGTTGACGGTTTAGGGTTTAGGGTTGCCTAAAGCGCTCTAGAAGTGAGGATTTGGGATTTATACAAGGGAACTTGTATGAAGACAAATGGTTTGAAAGTGTCTAGGATTTGCCGCCGGAGTTCCGGATTTACAGGGTTAAGGAGAAAAAAGCACACGCAACCAGCTTAGGACGGGATGGTTCAGGCTGATTTCGATGGTCTTACAGTACACCACCAGAAGCATGCGCAGCGGTTGAAGTTCGGGACAATGCTTCATTACACTGGAACGTAGTGGGACGGTGTAGGATCACAGTCATATCAAGCATCCGCACTCTAGTCTCTTTGTGAAGGCCTCTAGTCTAGATTACACACAAGCCCGAGAGGAGGTGTCTATTCCCAAACCCTACAGCCTACACATCCTTAAACTCTGTAGCTGGGAACAGGACGACACTCCGATGCATTTCGCGGGAGAAAAGCGTGCCGAAGAAAAGCGTCCAAGTCCAATGTGCTGCCAATCCACAAACGTGTATGCCTCTGAGGATTACTTCACACTGTTTCGCAAAGACGGGACGGAATCGTGCCCCAAGGGATCGCGCATGAGCCATTGGTTCGCATGCCGCAATGCGCCCTGGGGGCCGTAGAGAAGGAAATCTGTCGTGCTCCGGTAAAAAAGTGCTTGCTTAGGGTCATGAAACAACTCGAAGAACCCGACCTCGACCCGACCCTTTTGGCTTCTTCCGGCCGACAGCAATCGTAGGCTTGAGGGAGGTGGGTTTAGAGCTTCTGAGTTCAAGGTGTTGGATTCTGGGCTCCGGAACTTCATTGCCTAGGTTCTGTTGGGCTCGTTTCTCCTCGTTTTTTTTAGCAGCTTGGTTTTTGGCTACTGTACAGATAGCAGGTCGGAGTGTAGAACTTTGGCGTAGATGTGCAGCTCTGTATGTCGCTTCTAGTTCTTAGCGGCTTTGGCCCTGGTAAGTTGGGAGTTTGCTGCCGGCGGTCCGCGAGGCTTCTCACCTGTGCTGCTCGCGCGCGGTCTTCGTTGTGGACGCAGGCCTTCCCTGGGCAAAATGTGGTTTAAAGACCCCGAACTAACGGCACCCTGAACTGCCGCCGCATCCCTTCATCTTGCCACAGGCGGTGTGAGCTGCGATTTGTGTCGCTGGTGTTGCCACATCCCGCGACGGTAGGGGTAAACTTATTCTCTCCACATCTATACTTCCTTGCACACTGGGCCCAACAACTAGGACAAGCTTGGCATAATTGACATTCACGAAGGCATCGATCGCTTGACGAACCTGTCGCAACGTGGCTGACACTAATACTAAGTTAATCCAGACCTTGATCGCTGGTTGAACTGATCACGGGTTCTACAAGCAAAATCACCACTCTTTCTGTTTAGAATTCTTGTCATGGTCGGGTGATCGACATAGCAGACTCAGCAGACCTAGAACAAAGTATACAGTCTTTTGAATATCTGTTGATGTAGAGCTGGAGGGAGGGAGGGAGGGAGGGAGGGGAGAGAGAGAGAGAGAGAGAAGGCCAGCTTCCGACAGCAGTGACCTTGATCTAGCGTCGCAGGGATCAGTTAAGTCTATATCGTCGGGCACCCACATATCCTTCACCAACGAAAGCCTGGCCCTAAGGGTCAGCGCAGATGAGATCCAGGCGGTGCTCCAGGCATCTCGACCCCTGCTGTGCTTGTATCAGAGGATGTTGAGGAAGACCAGGGCAATGTACTGTAGCAAGCGCATGTACAGACGGGCACAGAGTAAAATGTAAAAGACAGATAAGAAGGCAAGGGAAGGTATACACTATGCCACACCCACTTGTGACCTATGAGCCTTTGACTTACTTTCCACGAGTCCCCCACCCAGCTCAGTACACTTTTTAGGCGAGGTGGCAGGAAATTCGCCGGTCCTTTTTTGGCTGAGTTCGATCCCGAACACAGATGACGAGCCGCATCACAGAAACACGGCACAAGTATAACCCTCGGCCCTCAAACCCCTACATGCAAATTTTCCCTAGGTCCCAGACTGTAGCACTATGTTCATGAGCCGAGGGTGTCAACTACCTGGGAGGCAGGACCCAAACCCTTCACTCGCAAAACTTCCCTTTTCAGGAGGCCTCCCGACGGAGACTCAGCGAAGTTCATCAATCCAGCAGGGTTTCTGGAGACATCTTGTGGCCCATTGTATGTTTTTTTCCAGGATTTCTGGGGATTTCTGTGGTGCTTTTTCTGTTTTGAGCCTCTCGGGTGGGGGAAGATGTTAGCGGGGATGACAGGCCATACCGGTAGTCTCCATTGTAGTTCCTTTTTGAGGTTACGTTATAGGATCCGAGTTAAATATTTGGTTAAACCAATTAGCTCCCTACTTCGGGGTCGCCTTGAAAGAGAGATTTCGTTTTCATGCAGCTGCACATAGCATAGGCGCTTGAACAGTTACCAACACTATTTTGGGGGGTTCCTTATTGCGGTTATGGCACAATGCACCCCAAAACCTTACTCAATTAAGTGCCCCATAATATGAAACCTCTGATGGATGAACCTGTTCGCCTCCCAGGGATGAGAATCGGGGTCCCAGTTTAGGCAGGCATCAAGGGTCTACGTTATGAACTGCCATGTCGGTTGTGGCTCAGGGCCACAGGCTACCGAAGCCATGGAACCTTGTGCGAAGTACAGAGGTCTGGGCAATCAGCAACAATAGGCCCTCACAGTTTCCATGGTTGTGCACAAACAGGCTCCGAAGCTCTCTTCTACAGCAGTGATTCAGGGCCCAACTGCAGCATGGTAAACCCTAAGCTTGTTCTAGCCTCAGCCGTTCAAGGGGTCGAAGGAAGAGGGCTTGAACAAGTAGCACAATTGTTCCTTATCGGGCGCCATGTACTACTTAGAATTATAGCAAGGTCCTCCGGGAAATCTCGTCTCCAGGCTTCTACACTTTGAAAAGGGTTCCTTCCTGTCCCTTCAGGCATGACTCCGTCTGCAAGGTTTTCAGTCCCAAAGACGTGACATTCCAAAATGCCCCTGACCTGTCATAGGCTCCCAGAACGGGTTCTAGCCATTATCTGAGGCCCTTCACTGCTGCCGAGATTGATCCCCGCTGTGGCGACTGGGGAACAGCAGCTGGCCCAAAAGGTTGTGGAAGGACGGAGCGTTTTGGAACAACTAGGGTGGTGGAAAGTTCAAATTGGCGGCATTCAGTCACTTACCGCTTGTACAAGCCCTTAGGGTGGCGTGTAGTTCGGCCTATCCACAGAGCCAAAAATCCGAAGGTCTCGAAAGGAAGGGTGTGCTTGTTAGTACGCAGATGGCTTGTCCTTTATTGCATGTGCGTGGGTGAGCCTGAGTGAATCGTAGGATCTGCAAGGGCAGAAGCACCCGAGCATCGTCAAGCCCGCAAAATATGCAAGCGCTCCAAGGTAATTTGTCACTACGAGTATGAAATTTGCCACGACCCGGCGACGGAAACGCGCACTGCGACGAAAGCTAGTTTTCCTGAAACAGTTGTGTCGTTGTCGCCCCTCGTTATCAGGACAGTGGCAGACCCTCACTTCTCCCGCAGTGGCAGCAGTGGCGGTTGTTGTATGATGTTGTATGCATAGTCGTTACCGTAGTGCGCATCTGCGCAGTGTTCTCCTCCAGAGCAACAGGAGCAGCTGCAGTATTTCTAGTCTTCTGGTGGCAGCGGTAGTAGTAGTAGTAGTAGTAGTAGTAGTAGTAGTAGTAGTAGTAGTAGCAGTAGCAGTAGCAGCAGCAGTAGTAGTAGTGGTGGTAGTAGTAGTAGTAGCAGCAGGAGTAGTAGTAGTGGTGTTGGTGGTGGTGGTAGTTGTAGTAGTGGTAGTAGGAGTAGTAGTGGTAGTCGTAGTAGTAGTAGTAGTAGCAGCAGTAGCAGTAGTAGGAGTAGTAGTGGTAGTAGTAGTGATGGTAGTAGTAGTTGTTGTAGTTTGTAGTCCTCGTCGTCGTAGTGCCTCTCCAGCCATCAGGTCCAGGCTGGTCACACGCCCGGAGTGCTCGTCGAGGATGGCGGCGGGAGACGGTTCCGGGCAGGTGCTGGCTGGGTGGAAAGTCGGGACCACGAGGGACGGTGGGGGTAGCACTGCACATATTGAGAAAAACATCTTGCTTCCCCAACATGTTTGGGGTTTGCTTGCTTTCAGGGATGTAAAGACTTCGTCCACCGATTTTCACTGGCTGATTAGAGCACTTTGCGGCCCACTGACAGCGCACCCACGCAGCCACATCTTGCGCATCTCCGCGATTGAAAATGACAAAACAACTTCACTAAATCGTTTTCAAAATCCTTAGACCTTGGAAGCCCTAAACCCCGAAACCCTTGTCCGATACCCAAGACCTAAACAAGCCCCGGCCGGCTGAATCCTAAGCCTCCAGAAGAAGCAGGACTTACGACGCAAGCCCCAAACCAGAATCCCTACACTGCTTAACCCAGCTACGGTTGATTTTTTCTTGGGCCCCTGGAGCTTGCACACGTTTTCGTTTAGTTTGTATCTTTTAGACCAGTGGTCGTCAAGCCTTGCCTGCCTTGCGCGAGTCCCACACTGAACGCCTGAACCCAAACTAAACAGAGATAACTCAAAGCGCCTTCGAAGAAGGAGCTGCTCGTTCCCTCTTCGCCCGTCTCCGAGCTTTTGGCTGAGCGACCCGGCAGTTGCAGTGGAGAGCTTCTTGGAAGGGGTTTAGGGCTTGAGACTTTTAGGGTTTCACATGGGCTTCAGGCTCTATGCAAGTATGATTTGGTGGTGCAGGAGTCTTCTCGGCTTTTTCTATGGCTTGTAATAGAGGGCTAGCTTGCAATTTGATTGAGGGCCTCTTAGTTTGCAGCTCGGACCCATGTCGCATTTCACAATCAAGCGAGCCTTGCGTAGGTTCTTCCTGGTGCCGTTGCTGTAGCTGCCAGTGCCTGCGCGGTTTGCTTCGGAATGATTGAAATCTCAAGGTTTGCAGACCCAAGAACACCCTAAAGTTAGAAAAGTTACTCCCATGTAATTAAACAGTTAGATCCCGAAAACCTGCAAAGGGTGTTTTGTTGGTAGCCAAGGTCCGTGGGAGGCTTTTTATTCGGGAGTTGTAGAGTTTGAGCCGCGGGTCTCAGTGGCTGCACACTGGATACTGAGCAAGGGCTTCTAGGCTTTTTTCGAGTTAGAGTTTTTGTTTAGGGTTTCATGTTAGCGGGTATTGGAGAGGGCCTTGGGGTTGTAGGGCTACGGCGGCGTCGCTTCAATTGGATCGTGGCGTTAGAGGGTTTAGCAAGCATGAGTCACTTCGGTGCAGGCAGAAATTTGAGTCCTGAACTGGACATGTCCCCCTACTTACATAATCTGTCCCTTAATTAAAGCCCGCATAAATTTCCAAAGGACGGGTGCTACTGACTGGGTCTCTCCGGACTCCATTGCCTGTCATTTGGCCCTTTGCCGGCGCATCAATGGGGTTTCAAGGGTGAAGTCTTCGGGTTTGGGGTTAGTTTGGGTTCATGGTTTCAGGGTTGTGAGGTTTCAGCGTTTGGGTTTCAGGGTTTGAGGTTGAGGGCCTTGTGCTTAGGTTTCCGGGCTTTAAACACTGAAACCGTGAGTGAAAGTATCGGGCTCCAGGCGAATTTCGGCCTGAAGGAGTTGAAATTGGAAATCAATAGTTCTCCTTTCCCAGCCTGAGTCATGGAGGCCCATTCCCTTTCACGTAAACAATCATGAGTCCACACTGACAGGATCTGACAGGAAGAACGCTCATGGAGACTCCTGGTCCAGACCCCCTTCTTCAGCACGTAGTCTTTGGATCCTTCAGTGCCGTGCGAGCCAGCGCTGTTGTTTGCCGTTGGCTTGGCTTTGTTCCGATTAATAGTACATGCACCTACGATACGTGTAGGCGATTGTAGGCGTGAGGTTTCACACTTCCTTGTGAGTGGTGCATGCGTATAGACACACACACACACATATATCTATCTATCTATCTATCTATATATCTATATCTATATCTATATCTATATCTATATCTATATCTACCTATCTATATATGTATATATATATATAGAGAGAGAGAGAGAAAAAAAATGGCACAAAAAAGGCAGGCTGTGCACATGTATGCATACATAGCGTGCAGATAGCAGGTAGGCTTGCACCCCTAGTGCAGCAATGCTGCGTTGGAGCCCATGAAAAAGCACGCTACGCACCCGTGACCTTCATGGCTAAAGCTCCACGGCATAATCCCCTGGCCGCTTACATAGGGTTTCACTGACTAGGGCATGATAGTATGCTTCAGGGTCCCCCATCCGCTTCGTAGCTTGAAGCCCTCCAAAGCCTTTGTCCAACTTTTCTTCCGGACACCGCCACATAGCTTTAATAACACGATTATGGCTAAACTGTATTATAATGTAGTTAGGTCAAGGAAGGCTCAACTACGCCGCAGCAAAAAAACGCGCAAAGCCTTCTTCGAGTGTGCCCACCCCTCTTACATATGTACGTATGTACGTATTTATGCATGTATATGTGTGTGTATGCAGGTACGTATGGTATATAAACACATAGCATACACATGCACGCACACTCACACACTAATATATACATTTATATATATATATATATATATATATACATACATACATACAGACATATGTAAACTTACACATATGTGTATGTGTGCGCCTATATTTTAGCAAATGTACATCAAATATGCATATGTACAGCTATCTGTATACATATTTTCGCAGATAGATACATACACATACAAATGTGTATATGTATGTACATTACGTACAAGCATAATCTGTTTATTTGTTTATGGATTTTAGTGAGACTGCAGGTGTGGTCCGTGCTCTACATGTGCAGCTGGGAGATCAAGGCCCGAGCCTACTAATACGGGGGGGTCTCTGACTTCTTAGGTTGTGAGGTTCACGGGCTCACGGTGCAGGGTGGTTTGGTGTAGGAAAGTTGAGAATTGGACACCTGAGGCCCCGAAGCCTAGAAGTTGTACAGTCCAAAAGCATGTAGGGCAGAGGTTCTAGGACCATCAATGTGGCATTTTTCCACCTTCTCCCAAGAGTTCTGGCAATCGGGTTTTCGTTTGAAAGCTGGAGGGGTGCTCGCAAGCCGACACGAGCCCAGCTTGAACGCGAGCTGATGCTTAGTTTTTTTGCGGTTTTGTGTGGGCAAGACGAAGCGAGAAGCAGGTCTGATTTGCTTCTGAGTTTTCCATAGTTTCCTGCTCAAAAGCCAGAAACCTAGTTCTCAGACCCACTATACAGCTATACATCTTCGGCCCCGCAATGCTACCAGCAGTCCGAACTCAGCGCACCCAAGCCCAAGACACTTATGGCAACAAGATCCTGAAATCGCCATGAACATAAAGTGCAAAATCCCAAAACCCTGATCTTCAGGCTCAGCTAAGCGGGTGGTTCCTAAACCCTAAACCAGAGCGTGCCTCGCCTGGATTGTCCGAGTGCGAGCGCCGAAACCAGAGCGTGTGGGCGCGGAGGGTGGGGGTGCTTCATGTCCTCGAGCGGAGGTCCGTTTGCCCACTGGCGAGAAGAAATCTGAGCGCCTCGGAAACACTTCAGAAAGCATTCATACATACGATGAAGTGTATCATGATCAATGTTTATAAGCGGTTCTACAGGGGTTTAGGGTGATCCATTGATTGGTCTGGTTTTCTTCATTGGGGGAAAGCATTGGCTGTAGACGTGGACAAGTTTCGCGAGCTGCACTATATGCCTTCAGGACCATTTACCAGCACCGGCTGGGTTCTTGTTCGGGTCAAACGTACCAACCTTGCTTCGTTTGGGGATTGTGGGTTTTCTGCTTTGCCAAGGAAGCCGTTCCGAATTCGGGCCCCTGGTTGAGCGAACACACAAGTTACGGACACATCCTGAGTTGTATGCCTAGCCGTATGCTTTCAACTTAAAAGGGACATGGTTCTTAATTGCGCCATTGCAAATTCGAAAAGTGCATAAGACAGCACATAAAGCCTCACCGCGAGGGCAGTCTCGTTAGTTTTCCGTGTGGCGACGTCCGACACCGTCTCGATGTGTCTGGCCCGGTTTTATTTCGTTTGTTTGGTTCAGCATGGAGGGGTCTATATAGCTGACAACATGGAATACAAGGTCGTGGTTGGCAATCATATCGCCTGATTCTAAACTACTGGCCTTCCAAACCCCGAAGCCGCGTGAATCTCTCGATTCGGCGACGAAGGCCCTTGGGGGACATCTTCCGTGACGGCTCTTGCCTGCGATGCAAAGTGCCGCTCCCGCTCCAGGACCCGCAGGCTGAGTACTGTTCTCAAGAAATCATGCACACCACTTTTTGCCATTTTGGAGCGTGTGGTGGATCTCGCCTTTCGGACATTGAGCCCGAGAGCTTTTATGGAAGGAGTATAGTGAAACGTCCTCCTCTCGTATCACCGAGCCCTGCAAGAGCTCATAAATTCACGGGCAAGGATCCGTTCATGGTTGAGGGAATGCTCAGTTAACCCGTTTCCCCTGCACCCCAAAGAGTAAACCCATCTAAGCCCTGGAAAGCTCTTAGTCTTGATCCCATATTTTCAGAGATTGTAGCATCTCGATCAGGACTGGCCTTCTACCGTGTCTCTCCTGGAGAACCTCTTGCCACACACAGACTACGCACCCTGGCCAGCACGAGAAGAAGCGCATTTGCTGATGACCAAAGCATTCCTTAAAGGGTTCTGTGAGGAATCTGCATGGATTTCATTCTGCGGGTTTCAGGGTTAGATTGGAAAAGAGAGACGATGGGCTTTACAAAGGATCTGGTTCCAGGCTTGAGAGACGGCCCTCGGATGCTTCTTAGTTGCTTCGCTTTTTTGATTATTATGGCTTCTTGTATATAGTCACCTCGCAAGCTTACACATGCATCTGTAGTTGCAACAACTTCAAGAAGGAGTTGAGTTCAGCTTAGGGTATCAAACGTCGATGCACACGTGCTCACATCAACGCTTGCCTGATCGTGGAGATGATGACATCATGATGAGGGTGAATATGCGGAAACTTATTGGTATCTCTGTGACGACTTTGCAGAAGTATGGCTAGTATCGGTAGGTTGCACAGGAGCAGCTGTAGTTAGGCTTTCGGAATCCTAAACCCGCCTCGACAAGCTTTTCCCCTCAATCCCAATTTCCGATGCCTATCCGAAATCCCCCTGTCGGCTCTTCTTCTCCACGCCTTAAACCCCTGAAAGCCTGAACCTTGTAGCACTCGTAAACCCGTACAAGAGATTGCTGGGCTTCCCTCAAGCCGTCTTTGCGAGTTTCATTAACCCCTATACTTTAGACCCTTTAATCCTTACGTCTTTCAAAAAACCCGAGATTCTGATTAATCCTGACACGCCAGCTTCACCCATAAGTCCTAGTTGAAGCTTGAACCTAAACCCCCGGGCCAAAGCCAAGGTTCGGATCTCCTTCTTCATGAAGGAAGGATGGCCCGTCCTGAACGAGGTGGAGACTCGGCTGCCGTTTCGGGTGCGAAGTTGAGACCAAAAAGCGCATGCCTTTGCACGGACTTTGCTAAAGCCGTAAACCCTAAACTTATGTAGGGATTTGGGGGGTAGAAACAGTACTTGAATCTGCCCCGAAGAAGATCCAGGCGGGGCAGACAAGACTCAAGCTACAACATAGACAAGAGGGTTTGAAAGTTTAGGCTCAAGAAGACGTCAATGTGCGGAAGAAGGGTCTCCAGTGCTGTCAGAGCACCTCGCTTCCTGTCGCTGCGGCAGCAAAGGAGTACACCACCGGCGGGTTGGAAGTGATCTACGTTCCACTGGCACGCGAGTGGAACCTGCAATGGCTCGAAGGCCACTCCATGTTCTTGTGTCCAGAACCTATTCACACACGGACGTTGCTGCATGTGTAGTCCAAAACGGGCTTGGGGCGTCGGGTCAATGTCAAGCGGCCCGGATTTGGCATAGGTGCAAATGACTTCATAAGGGTTAGCCCGCCTCAGGGCCAAATTGTCTTCCACTCGAAACCGACATCCGCAAACCCAAACCCCGGATCCTCGAAAAGCTTCGGTGCCCCACAGCTTCTGAATTCCTATGTACGGCCAGCTTGTGCCCTACAGCATGTTGCACGGCTTGCGACTTTAAGCCTTCAAAGCCCACGCATACAAAATGCTCAGGCACTTCGACGCCTTGGGCACACGGAAAGCCTGCTACCCTGATGCAGCCCTAAACCGTCCTTTTCAGCAACCTGATAGAGCATAGTTTTGAAGCACCCATGCCTTTACAAACCGGACCGGCCCAGCTACTTTCCCAGAAGTTCGCTTTAGGAAGCCTCGAGCTCGAAGTTCAAACGCAGACTAGATAACTAAGACGAATACGGTACATACCCAGCACGCGATCAGTCCAGAAGCAGATGCAGTGAAGGTTACTATCGATTCGTCACCTGATGCGGCAGCGACGAAGAGAAGAAGAAGAAGAAGGCTTGAGCGATTGGTTTAAGGCTCTCAGCTTCTAGAGGGCAGAGGGCTTAAGGACCTTGGGCTTTCAGGTAATTGGGCTTAGAAGATTAAGGCTTTGGGCCCTGGGGCTTTTCATTATGCTAAATAGGCTTTTGTTTTGAGCGCTGCAGCGGAATCCGATCCAGCCTGCAATGAGCATCAGATCAAGGCTGCAGTTTAGGTTGGGCCTTATGATTTCAGGTGGTTTAGGATTTAGCATTAAACTTCACGTCGGGGTTAACCTTCCTCTCAAGACCCTTTTCTCTTGAGAGCTCGTTTTGCTGATACTTGCTTGCTCATGTTTCCAGCGTTTGGTGACTGAACCGATTGTGAGAACAAGTCGCTCGACTACCGTTCCTGGCCCTTAACCTCAGGTGTTGTCCTTGCAGTGTTGACATTGGCAAGACCTTGGCGCAGGCGAGGCCACTGCGCAGCATATCGATCAAACACATCAGCCCCCAATTTCTGGGAAACAGCAAGCACAAGGTCTCGTCGAGGACTACGATGCCCTGGAGTTGTCCATGGCGCGTCCGACACACCGCACTGAGATCCAGGACAGAAGCTGTAGATTGGATGGCTGCAAGCTTCGGGAGCTCAGGGCTCTCGGGCCCGGGCAGCACACGAAGCAGAAAAGGGCGGCAGATTAAGAACTGTGGCTTCTTGAGGCTCCTTTGCTTGCGAGACACCTATTATGCCCAACTCTTTCATGCGGACCACCTGTAACTGCAGTCGAGATCATCATAATTGATGCATCCCTGTGCTTCGAGTTGCTCCCGAGCCCTACAGCTTTTTGCTGCAGCTTCGAATCTTCTCCCTGAAGGAGCACGGCAGCGCACAGGTGGAACACCTCCGAACCAAGAAGTGGCTTAGGACCCTCTCCGGCACTTTGCTCGCCGCAACGCAGCGCAACGTCTCCTGGACAAGGGCCCTATAGTGACCTGATAGGCTATGCGAGGAAAGCGCTGTGCAAAAAAAAGTTTCGGTCACTCCTTCTCTACAGCAATAGGTGTAAGCCACCTAATCCACCTTGGATTCGACAAAACGTCTCGGATCCCTGACATGGACCGGTTTGGCAACCCCACGGCTTGTTCCACAATCATGCCGTCAGACCTCGGTCATCCCGAATCAGATCTTCCGATGACAGGGACCGTCTTTTTCAGCAATACGCCTGGAGCAGGTATCTTCAGAATCAAAAGCCAAGTTCAAGACCCCAACTCGGTAGAAGGCAGTGGCTAGTGTTGAAACAGGTGGCCCCTCTTCAGAACCTGGGGCATGCGAAGCTGCTAAGCCCAAGAAGCCGCAGCAACTCAACGTCCTGCATGATCCCCAAAGCCTAAATCCTTGAACCCTTACATGCTAATCCCAAGCGCCGAATCTGGTAGCAGCACAAGTAAAGATGGACTTGAAATGACAGGCTTCGGGTTTGGGTTTCAGTGTTGGGGCTTCGGGTTTTTGTTTAAGGCTTCACGGTTCTGATGTTGTAGTGTCCGAGGCTCAGGCGTGTCATTCCTCACAGCTTTCATTACCATGGCCGGCTTGATGTTCTATGCAGCTGAGCTGGAGCATCGCCCATCGCATTTGGCTCGAATCCTCCGGCATGCTCAGGCCCCAGAACCATTCTTGAATGAGACATGTAAGCTCCTGCCATCCATGTCACGACCAGTCAGGATACAATCGTTGCACGATGCTCCAGGTCTGTAGCTTGACTCGGTTTGTCCAACATTTCGGAAACCGAAAACCCGGCAGCATCCCTCAAGCTAACCCGACTCGTCAAGCCCACATCTCAGCCCAACCCAACAGCCTTAAGCCCCCTGAGAGCACCAACGATTTGCCCTGGGATTCCGTGCTCCAATGAGCTGACGACCAATGTTTACCGACAGTTTGAAAGCTGGTGTCTCAGAGGTTTGGAACCTCGGGGTTGCATGGGAGTTTACTAGAGGGGCTTGATAGGATCTGCGAGGGTATGTTTCACCATATACAGATGGACAGATAGCTAGACGGATAGATATGATAGGTAGGTGGGCACATTCGCAATTAGTTCGTATAGCATTTACCCTTGGGGTGCTTAATTCTTCGACCATTAACCCTTAGGGTGCCTAAATCTTCGACAGACAGTTTAACAATCCCCCAAAATCCGAGTCTAATTAATACGGCCCATACATTAGGGGTGCCCTGCAGGTTGCATGGAGTTTTGATTGTAAAGGTTGCACGCCACCGTTGAAGCCGTTTTGATGGCTTTAGGATTTGACAGTTCTGGCTTCGGCTGCAGGGATTTGGCCGTATAAAGAGCTTTTGGTTAATGAGCTTAGTGTTTGGGTTTATCATGATCTCTTTTCGGCAGGGTCCCGCTGCAGTGCAGGTGCGGGCGCCTAGCTAGACTGTACAGTAAATAGTGCAGTGGATCTCAAGCAGTTCAGCTCTTGTTTCAGGTGCGGCACTGCCTGCAAGTCACGCTACTGCTGTGTAATTAGAGCAGTCTGTGGAAAACAGGACAGCCCTTTTTGCCTTGAACTGTTTCGTATCATGTTGTACTACTGACTCCAATGCAATTGCGCTATAGGCTGTACTCGAAGTTCGACGCATGAAACCCTAATCCGAGAGCTCAAAGTCGCCTTCAGAAGCCCTTGGTAGCTGGGTCTGTGGGCACTTGGGGCCCTAATACGCCTTGGGTATACAAAAGCGCGGGCCGAGAAAGGCACGAGCACTCAGACATGTAGGGTAACCCAATTCCAGTGGGGTGCTGTGTGTCGTGTGTGATGTAATGTGATTCCTAGCATGGCTAAGCAACAAACAAAAAGGCTGCATCGAAGGGTCCCCGGTCCCCCGGTGTCGGGTGTAGCACCTTGAAGCCTGCAGGGTTTGCAAGTTTGATCTCGCAGAGCCGTAGTATCGCACATCTAAGTGTCAGAGTACGACACGGCTGCAGGGGTAATTAAGCTGTAGCTCTCGAGATTAAGGCTCCTAAATCAGCCCGATCCCGGAAGATCCAAAATCTGACATCCAGGAAGAGCTCGATGCGCTGCCATCACTACTAGGCGCTTTCGCCCACGACTTGGTGACTGTATGAGCTCCTCCTTGATCTCTCTCTCCCTCCCATCTCTCTCCCATCTCTCTCGCTCTCTCTCTCTCTCTCTCTCTCTCTCTCTCTCTCTTCTCTCTCTCTCTCTCTCTCTCTCTCTCTCTCTCTCTCTCTCTCCTCTCTCTCTCTCTCTCTCTCTCTCTCTCTCCCTCTCTCGCTCTCTCTCTCTCTCTCTCTCTCTCTGTGTCTCTCAGTCTTATCTGTCCATTTATCTGTCTGTCTGTTTACCTACCTAAATACCTATGCATCTGTCTGTCTGTAGGTATGTATATACATACTGCATGTAGTTTGTCTGTGCGTGCTCGCTGTGTGGATCACTGTCACAACTGCCACAACTCCCTGATCCTCAAGCCATGAACTTTAGCAATGTAGCCCCAAACCCCTGAACACCCCCAAACCCTAAACACGATACCCTAGAGCCCGAAACCCTCTACGTAGCCCCAAACCCTAAGGCTGAATCCCTTGAGCTCACATCCGGTGCAGGCTCTTCCAGAACTTCCAAGATTGCCTCGCTTTGCTGCATCTGCAGTGCGCCACGCAAAAAGATCCTCCTTGTG